CCCCCCCCTTTCGCCCTACGGATCCTCGTAGGCCCTGGGCAGCCATGGTCTCGTGTCCTTCTTGGACCCCTGTGGTCCCTTGGTCTGCTCCCCTTAGCTGAGACTCCCATCTCTTCCTCTTGCAGTCGGTGCTGGGTTTTGTGTTGTATGCTCTAGCTGGGGCCGTGGGCTTCTTCACACATTACTTGCTGCCACAACTCCGCAAGCAGCTGCCATGGTTCTGCCTGTCACAGCCTGTGCTGAAGCCACTGGAGTATAGCCAATACGAAGTGCGTGGTGAGTGCCCTCCTCCCCGCAAGCTGGGACCCCTCTGCCCCTCCTGCCCCCAGCAGTGGACCTGCAGCCTGTCAAGAGCATGGTCTGTTCAGCTCAGAGTGCCAGCAGGGGGCAGCCTCTGCCCACCCCGCCCTGTCTGCACTGGTGCTGACCCTGTGGCCCTTTCACTGCTCTCTGTACCCTCCCCTGCCCTCTGTGCCTGACTCAGCCCTTGCCTCGCTCTCACCCTGCCTGCTCTGTCCTTTTCCTGCCCGCCTTGTGGTCTCTAAGGAGATGGAAGAAGTAGAATCCTAGAGCCATAAAGGAATCTGTTGTCCAGAATTATAAACTGGCTACCCGTGAACTAGATCAGCTTGGCGCATATTTTACTTTGATTGTGCGACAAAAATACCCTTGAGCCTGTGTTTAAACCTCTGGATTTGTTACTCAAAGGTCCACGTGCCTTCTTAAACGAAGGATTTTTCCTATTGGGCCAGCATCCCTGTGTGGCTACAGTCAGCGGGCGCCAAGTGGCAGTGGCCCCTTCAGAAGAGCCCTGCAGCTCAGGATCTCTGTGCGCTTGGGCCTCACTCAGCCTTCCTGACTCTGGTGGACAACTGAGATGTCCTTGGCAGCCTTGCTTTCACAGACAGCTAAATGGGCAGAGCACTGGCCCTAAGTCCCCGACACCCCCTACCTGGGCCTGGTCTCCCTCATTTGAACTGTCAAAGATCAACCCCGCCCCCTCACCTGCTCAAAGTCTCCAGGGACCCAGAACAGCACATCCCCTTGTCCTGTGGGCTGCCCTCCCTCCAGGTCCCCTTGGAGTGCACACCTGTCCTGGCCTTGTGGTGGGGGGCGTATGGAGGGCCAAGTGCTAGCCAGCAGCCCCACCTCCCCACTTGCTGTCTCAGGTGCCGCCCAGGTGATGTGGTTTGAGAAGCTGTACGCGGGCCTGCAGTGCGTGGAGAAGTACCTCATCTACCCTGCTGTGGTGCTCAACGCCCTCACAGTGGATGCCTATGCTGTCGTCAGCCACCCGGACAAGTTCTGTCTCTAGTGAGGACCGCTGGCCCCCTGGCCATCCCAGCATTTACATCCCAGTGTGACACACGGGGAAACGGAGGCCCAGAGAGGGAAGGAGACTTGCCTCAGTTGCCCAGCAAGCTTAAGTAGGACTCCAAGTTCTGACACCTTTTCCATTGAAGCAGCTGCCTCTTGGAAAGCATGTGTGTCCCTCCAATGTGTCTAAAGGGGGTGACCTCTTGAGAGAGCAGTGACTAAGAGTCACTGGCCCAAAAGAGCAGGGTCCATATCTGCAGAGCTCAGGCAAGGTCTGGTGAGATGGGCACCCACACCCACTGCCCCAAGTCTCCGCCCGCCACCTAATGCCTGCCCCTCGCCCATAGCTGCCGGGCGCTGCTGATGACTGTGGCTGGGCTGAAGTTGCTGCGCTCGGCTTTCTGCTGCCCACCCCAGCAGTACCTGACCTTGGCCTTCACCGTCCTGCTCTTCCACTTCGACTACCCGCGCCTCTCCCAGGGCTTTCTGCTCGACTACTTCCTCATGTCCCTGCTCTGCAGCAAGGTGAGCTGGTGGCCGTGTTGCAGACTCCAGGTGGTGCAGCTGGAGTAGAACTCTTCTGCCTCAGTGGGGGAACCTTCCTTGGGGGCCTTGGTCCTTGTAGCACTGCTCCACATTAGCCCCTCTGTGGGCCTCTGCAGCAGCTCCTCCAGGAGCAGCGAGCAAGCTGAGGTTTAAAGAGGGTAAGTAACTTGCCTCAAGTCTCCTGGAGAATTGGTGGCCAGCCAGGATTTGCACAAAGGACCATTCCCCAGCGCTGTCCTGGAGGTCTACAGTGGTGTCTGCAAGGGTGCCCCAGCTCAGGCCTGAGCTTTCATCTCTCTCACATGGGCACTCTAGTCTGGTTTCTGGTCTAACCTAGGATGGTGGAGATCCAGACATCCAGGAGATGTCCCCCTCGGAGGGCAGGGCCTATGACTCTTAACTCACAGTACCACAGTGGAGGCCTGGCCTCACTGAGTCACTGGCAAGACCTGAGCAAGTCATTTACCTGTTCTGTTTTCTGTGAACCTCAACTTTCCCATCTGGGAAATGGGACAGCAGTAAGAGGCTCTCAGGGTGGTTATATGAATTAAATGGCTAACGCTCACTAGAGTGGTTGCTTTGTCTGGAATTGCTAATAGTACTGGGTTCTTTGAGGCAGGTCGAGAGAGGAGTGGCTGGGAATGATCTTGAGCTTGACTCCCATGTGGGCAGCCAGTGGGGTAGCCCCAAGGCTCTGAATGGGTACTTGGTAGACCCCTGCTTCTGTGAGCGGCCTGTGTATCTTGAACTTTCTCCCCTCTCCATCCTGCAGCTGTGGGACCTGCTGTATAAGCTGCGTTTTGTGCTGACCTACATCGCACCCTGGCAGATCACCTGGGGCTCGGCTTTCCACGCCTTTGCCCAGCCCTTTGCTGTGCCCCGTATCCAGCCTGCTACCCACTGCCTGGGTGGGGGTGTGCAGGGAGGGCCGTGGCCTGGGAGAGGGGTTGCCGGGCGGGTTGGCAGGGGCAGAGGAAGGGTGAGAGAGGCCAGGGACAGTCCTGTGTGCCTGCCACCTCCTTGACTCGGGCCCAGACTCGGCCATGCTGTTCGTTCAGGCCCTGCTCTCGGCGCTCTTCTCCACGCCACTCAACCCCCTGCTGGGCAGCGCGGTCTTCATCATGTCCTACGCGCGGCCCCTCAAGTTCTGGGAGCGCGACTACAAGTGAGTCTCATGGACATGGAAGCGAGTGCCTGATGCGTTGCTCAGAGGGGCTTGGAGAGGAGTGAGGCGGCTGGATGAGGAGAGTCGCTGGGGGAGAGGAAGGGTTTGGAGCCCAGGTTGGATTTGGCACTGTGAGGGCCCGCAGCGCAGGTGTGAGTGCCGGGCATGGCGAGCCAACCCAGAGAGGGCACTACACCCTGGGCTTCCTGGCTGCGTGGTCCTGTGTGTGTCCACTCATGTCCCTGAGACTCAGCCCCCGCTGTGTAACGGGGCTATCGTGGCATCTGCCTGAGAGCACAGGATTGTGGGCTCAGGGAGGACATGGTGGGGGGCCGGCGGGAACTGTCATCTGAGCCCTCGGCAGCCTCGCCCTCTTGGCTGACTTTGTTGTCGCTCTCTCTTTGGATAGCACTAAACGTGTGGATCATTCCAACACCCGCTTGGTCACACAGCTGGACCGGAATCCTGGTGTGTACCCAGCCATCAGGGGCCTTTGGGGTGGGACCTTCCTGGGGAGGGAACTTTGCTCACTTGCCACTTCGCCCATATGTCCATCTCTCCTGGGCCCCAGGCGCTGACGACAACAACCTCAACTCTATCTTCTACGAGCACTTGACTCGCTCGCTGCAGCACACGCTGTGTGGGGACCTGGTGCTTGGCCGCTGGGGCAACTACAGCCCTGGCGACTGCTTTGTGCTGGCCTCCGACTACCTCAACGCCCTGGTGCACCTCATTGAGGTCGGCAATGGCCTTGTCACCTTCCAGCTGCGTGGCCTGGAGTTCCGGGGTGAGCTGCGGGCCAGGGTCAGCCGCAGGGCGCTGCATGTGCTAGTGTGAGGGCTGCCCTGTCCCAGTTTGCTGGGGACCGTGAGCAAGGTACTCTTCTTCCCCGGGCCTGGCTGTCTCAGTCTGAGCAGTGAGGTGGCAAGGGTGACTTTGGCAGATCTGTAGCGAACAGGCTGCTCCAGTGAAAGCTGGGGCCTGGAGTGCTGGGTTCTCCCGCCAACTCCCACTGGCCTGCCCTGTGCTCTCAGGTCTGGCCCAGCTTGGGTGCCACACATAAGCCTCAGCAAGTCAGCTGGCTCCTTGCCCTCAGGAAGGAGATGCTTGGCAGATGCCAGCTTCGGAAGAGGTCTCCAAGTGCAGAGGGGCTCTAAACACAGCTTGGAAGGACCATGAACCTGAGTTTTAGTCATTGTCTCTATAAATGAGGGATCAGACCCTGTCTACCACCCACCTCACTCCACCCCCACCCCACTTCCACCCCACTGTGGCCCCTGCGAGTTAGGAGGAGAAAGGGGCTCATTTGTTAACCCATTCGTTTAGGTACTCCCGCAGCATCCCGTGGAGGGTGAATGGTGGGAGACCTCCAGCACCCTGCCTGGGTAGTCTGGGGAGCTGACAGGCAGGAATGTCCTCATGGCCCCCTGACTGGGCATCCTTTCTCTGCAGGTACATACTGCCAGCAGCGTGAGGTGGAGGCCATCACAGAGGGCGTGGAGGAGGACGAGGGCTGCTGCTGCTGCGAGCCTGGCCACCTGCCAAGGGTCCTATCCTTCAATGCTGCCTTCGGGCAGCGCTGGCTGGCCTGGGAAGTGACGGCCAGCAAGTACGTGCTGGAGGGCTACAGCATCAGTGACAACAATGCCGCCTCCATGCTACAGGTCTTTGACCTCCGCAAGATCCTCATCACCTACTACGTCAAGGTACGGCAGGGGTCCCCGCTGTAAGGGCTCGCAGGCCAGGAGCATCCCAAATGCCATCTTCTGGATCTTCGGGAGCCTGTTTTGCCCAAGGGAAGCAGAAGCCTCAGAGAGTTTAAGCATTCTCCAAAGTGCCAGCGCTAAACATTGGGCCTCGAAGGCCTGTATGACTCTTGACAGTGGGGTGCCTGGGATGGGGGCTTCCTTTCACCCTCCTCCAGGAGGCTTGCCTTGGGCAGTGAGTACTGGGGGCAGATGGGCAGCAAGTGTATAGATCTTACTGGGCTTCTGGTCCTGGGAGGGGCATTCCTGAGGCCAGCCTTCTAGACCACCAGCCCCCACCCCTTGCCCCACACTGATGCTAAAAGTGGTGGCATTAACGACAGTTTTAGGAGCAGCTGCTAAGCAGTGGTGCTTACCGAGAGGTGGGCTCTGCCAGGTTCCTCCCCTGAGCTGGGTAAAGCCCACACCCTCCAGGAGAGGCCTCACTGCCTCAGATGTGGGGATTGGCTTGCAGTGGGGAATAGGACTTGCTGGAGGCCTCAAAACCAGGAGAAAGTGGCAGAGCTAGCTTAGCCCAGGCTTGGGCCTGCCTGTCTCAGCCTGGGCACTCCAAGCCAGGACTGAGGGTCTTGAGGCCTGTTGGGGGTGGAGAGGGTTGGTGAGAACAGTGTGGGGTCCAGAAGGAGCCCTGGACTGGATTCTAGGAAGCTGGCAACATCACCTCTCTTGCTATGCCTCAGTTTACCCCCTTAAGAAGCAGGGATTATCTCAGTCCTGTGAGATGACAGGGACGATGAGGGCACTACAGGAGGGGGTTGCGCAGGGGTCACAGTCCAGGTCTCCTCATGCTCTCTTAGCATCTGCCCTGAGGCTCGTGTGTGGGGCCAGGAGTGTGACTTGTTGGAGCCCAGGTGAGCCTGCCCACCTGAGGTTCTCTCCAGGGCAGTCCTGTGCATCCCCTAGCTGTCCTTTTGTTGCCAGTGGGCACCCTGTCTGTGTCACACATCAGAGAAACTACTTTGCTATCTTTTCCATCTAGTCATCCACTCCTAGGGAAGGGTTTATGAGCCCCCCACTCTTCATTTTCACCAGGATAGAGACTGTGGTCCAGAAAGAGACCTCCCTAGCCCCAGGTCACCCAGGGGTGACGATGCTGTCCACCCTCCTCTCCCATCTTGAGAGAGATGCTCCTGCCCAGGCCACCCCACTGCCTTCCTCAAGCCCGGCTTAAGGCTGGCATAACCTTCTCACGGCTGTGCAGCAGGCCCCAGCCAAGCCCTGCCTGGCAGACTGAGATGAGTACCACCCCACCAAGTTTCTTGTCCCAAGGGGAAGCCAGCTTGCTGCAATTGCCTCAAAAGCTGGGCAGAATCAGGGCCATGTAGAGGTGCCTGGAGGACCCGGGGAAGATTCTGCCTAAGATGGAGTGTGGGATGAAGTTTGAAAGGATGAATTTGGGCTACTGAGGGTGGGGCTTGGGGGAAGTCAGATGTGCAGGGCAGTCCCCCGGGTCTGGGGCAGTTCAGGGATGTGTCCCATGCAGACCAGGCAGAGCCCTCCGTGTGCCACTTTGGTCCCACCAATCCTTTCCTGGCAGTCACTAAGAGCAGTTGGGTGAGAGATTCAGTCCAACCCCTCCGCCCCGACATCCATCTGCAGCCGAAGCCTTGGGGTCCTTTCAGCATTCCTAAGCCCAGGCATGTTCATTATGCTGTGTGGTACTTTGAGCAACCCCTGAAAGAGGCAGGCCCGTGTAATTAGCCCCTTTTTCAGTTGAGGAAACTGACACTCAACAGACCCATGCTTGCAGTGAGGTCGAATGAGGGCAGAAAAGATGCCGCCGTCGTGAGGCTTGTGAAGATTCAGTGAGCAGAGTCACACTCCCAGCAGATGCTGGCAGGCGGGAGCTGTTGCTCCTGAGAACCACTCTGAGGGCTGGGTCTCAGGCTTGCTGGTTTCACAGAACACAGTAGAGGTGGTGAAGGTTAGTGGAGCACTTTCTCTGCTGGGCTGGCTCCTCCCCCGACCCCCAAAGGTTTATTCTCCTGGTTCTTCTTGGGGGCTGTGGTGGTGCCCAGACTGTGGAGACGTCCTCTGAGCAAGACCAGTCTGCAGCCAGTCTGCCTGGGGCCCAAAGCTGCCCCCCAGCCCTCCTACCCTCTTCACCCTGTTAGGCTCCTGGTCCTTCTTCCTCTTGGTAAGGGGCACCCAGCCCTCTCTTGACTGCTCACCCACCTGCCACAGCCAAGGTAATGCTGAGGCCAAGCTCTCAGCCACTAGGCAAACCCTCATGTGCTGGGAACTGAACTGATGAGACCCCACCTATAAGCATGGCCCCAGGTCCCTGCACCTCCCACAGCTCTTTGAGGCCCTTGGCTCTTCCTGGCTTGTACTGTGGCCATTTTGCCCAGGCTCTTGGCCTCTCCATAACTTACCAAGGCCACCCTGCTAGACACCCCTACTGCCTAGGTTCCCTCTGTTCGTAGCCACCTGCACCACCCTCCCCAGCTCTGAACTTCCCACCCTTACCCAGGCAGAAGACCAACCCCACTGGCTCCATCCCAGGGCAGCACATGGAATCCCGGTGACCTTACTGGCTGCCAACTGCCAGCCTCACACTGCCTGTCCATCCTGGCTCGGCCAGCTACCTACCTTCCAAAACCGCCTCTCCATTTGCTTAAACCCCTGCTTCAAAACTAGCAGAATCTCTTAAAGTCCGGGAGCCCCTAACTTTGGGCAAAGATGCTGTGCCTTTGGCTTTTGAAACCCTGTGGCTGTCGTACTTCAGCTGCCTAAAGGCACCCATGATCTAGGGGCACCCCACTGACCTACAGGCAGCCCCACTACCTTAGTCTGACCTTCAAGGCCTCTGAGATCTGGATCCTACAGCATCATAGTGTTGAAGGTCACAGGGTTCCAGCCCCGGCTCAGTCTGCCCTGCTTTGTAACCTCAGGCAAGTCTGTTGTCTGTCTGAGCCTCAGTTCCCCTGATTAACAGAGCAGGCATTGTAAGCCCTTGTCCCGGTGCAGCACCCACCAGTGGATGCTCCATCAGGAAGGTTGCTTCCTGCTGCTTTCGCCTTCCTCCTCTCTGGCTGAGTGAAGGGGAACAGACTTGCCTGTGTGGCTTCAGGGAGTTGAGATGGGATACAGGATCAGTGTCCTAGGAAGCCGACTTAGGCTCAGTCTAAGGGAAAAAGAAGCCTCTTTACCCTGATGCTGTCTCCTCCAGTAGCCAGGGTGAGGGCACTATCCCAGTCACTGACCCCAGCCTCTCCTCCCAGAGCATCATCTACTATGTGAGCCGCTCACCAAAGCTGGAGGCCTGGCTCAGCCATGAGGGAATCACGACGGCCCTGCGTCCTGTGCGGGCACCTGGCTATGCTGACTCAGACCCCACCTTCTCGCTGAGCGTGGATGAGGACTATGACCTTCGCCTCTCTGGCCTCTCGCTGCCCTCCTTCTGCGCGGTACACCTTGAGTGGATCCAGTACTGTGCCTCCCGGCGCGGCCAGGTCCGGCCACCACTACCCTGGGGCTGCCTTCTCCCCCCTCAGCTTCCCCCGTCCCTGTGTGGGTTCTTCTTACCCTCAGAGTCCCTCAGCCTGGGCCCCAGTCCCTACCCCGAGTTCCTGTCCCAGGTCTGAGCTGGGCTCTGGGGATGGGGGTCCTTGTGCCACAGCCTGTGGACCAGGATTGGAACTCGCCGCTGGTCACACTGTGTTTCGGCCTGTGTGTGCTGGGCCGCCGGGCCCTGGGGACAGCCTCGCACAGCATGTCTGCCAGGTGAGTGCCTACAAGTCCACCCAGGCCTATCGCTCTCCCTTCCTCCACCTCCATAAAGAGCTCTCAGGGGCCACATCAGCCCATCCATCTTCATGGGCAAGGCACCTCCCCACTGTGGCCTTACGGCTCCTCCCCACCCTGGGAGGGACATGGGCAGAGACGACTGCCTTGGCGAGAAGGGAAAACAGACCCACTGTGAAGAATGGTCTCTGCTCAGATCACTGCACAAAGAGCCAGAGCTCAGGTACTTGAGAGCCCCCTGTGTGTTCACTTCCCTTCCTCCTCTTCCCCAGCCTGGAGCCCTTCCTCTACGGTCTGCATGCCCTATTTAAGGGAGACTTCCGTATTACCTCCCCACGAGATGAGTGGGTCTTTGCCGACATGGACCTGCTTCACCGCGTGGTGGCACCTGGGGTTCGCATGGCCCTAAAGCTTCACCAAGTAGGGAGAGGTGTGCCCAGGCAGGGTGGGTTGGCCAGGGGGTGAAGCCCCTCCCCAGGGCAAGGACCACTGCTCTCAGTCCTCCCGTCCTCCCCTCAGGACCACTTCACGTCCCCAGATGAGTATGAGGAGCCGGCTGCCCTTTATGATGCCATTGCAGCCAACGAGGAGCGCCTGGTCATCTCCCATGAGGGCGACCCAGCCTGGCGCAGCGCCATCCTCAGCAACACGCCTTCACTGCTGGCATTGCGCCATGTCCTGGACGACGCCTCGGACGAGTACAAGATCATCATGCTCAACCGGCGCCACCTCAGCTTTCGTGTCATCAAGGTGGGGATGGCCCACTTACCCAACCTGGCCCCCTTTCCTCCACTTCGACCTCCTGACCCCCGCACGTGGCCGCCCGCAGGTGAACCGGGAATGCGTGCGCGGCCTGTGGGCTGGGCAACAGCAGGAGCTGGTGTTCCTGCGCAACCGCAACCCCGAGCGAGGCAGCATCCAGAATGCCAAGCAGGCGCTCCGCAACATGATCAACTCCTCCTGCGACCAGCCGCTGGGCTACCCCATCTACGTGTCGCCCCTCACCACCTCGCTGGCTGGCAGCCACCCCCAGCTGCGGGCGCTGTGGGGTGGCCCTGTCAGCCTGGGTGCCATCGCCCGCTGGCTCCTGCATAGCTGGGAGAGGTGAGCTCTGACCACCGCCTCCAGCCTGTGAGGCCAGGTTCGTGGAGCAGGAAGCTGAGGAGGTCCTGAGATGAAGCAGCTCCCTCCTGGGTCTGACTGAGGAAGGGCTGGAGCCAGGAATGAGCCCCAGGACCAGGGCTGACCCAGCTGCACACGCACACCCACTTCAGCCAGAGCTGAAAGTGGTCTTTAGCCTAAAGTGCTGTTGATAATGTCTCCCTTAAACCCTATAAAGTAGGTGACAAAATCTTTTAGAGACAGGGGCTCTGAGATGTTAGGTGACTTGTCCTGGATTAGAAACTCGTGCTTGTGAGGCCTTTGCACCCCCATCCCCACCCCTACCCACTTCTTTTCTGCCTCCTCTTCCCCAGGCTTCACAAGGGCTGTGGTGCCGGCTGCAATAGCGGCGGGAACGTGGATGACTCTGACTGTGGTGGAGGCGGTGGCTTGACCTCTCTCAGCAATAACCCCCCCTTGGCACAGCCCACACCTGAGAACACAGCAGGTAAGCGGGCAAGGCCAGGCTGAACTAGTGTGTGAGGAGGGCAGCCTAGCTGACTGAGGTCTCTGCCCTCTTATCTGTCTCCCACAGGCGGTGGTGACCAGCCTCTCCCACCAGGCCCGGGCTGGGGCCCACGGCCCTCCCTGAGTGGCTCTGGTGATGGGCGCCCCCCTCCTCTGCTGCAGTGGCCGCCCCCTCGGCTCCCTGGACCATCTCCTGCTTCGCCTGCCCCCACTGAGGGTCCCCGGCCCTCAAGGCCCCCTGGCCCTGGTCTCCTTAGTTCTGAGGGTCCCAGTGGGAAGTGGACCCTGGGGGTTCGGAAGGGGCTGGGGGGATCCGAGGGGGAGCCAGCCTCAGGGAGCCCTAAAGGAAGCACCCCCAAATCTCAGGTAAGGGTCTTATGGAGGGTTGGGTCCCAGGCAGCTCAGGTCTGCTCTCCCACCAACTTGTCTTCCCTCCCTCAGGCACCCCTTGACCTCAGCCTCAGCCCAGATATCAGCACCAATGCCTCGCCCCCCAGAGCAGCGCAGGACATTTCTTGTTTGGACAGCAGTGCTCCTGAGAGTGGCACGCCGACTGGGGCTCCTGGCGACTGGCCTGTCCCTGCTGAGGAGCGAGAGAGCCCAGCTGCCCAGCCCCTGCTGGAGCATCAGTACTGAGTGGCCTGGTGCCCTCTGGGTCCCAGCCCAAGATTCAGTAACTTGGACCCTTGGCCTTTGGCCCTTTCTGCTGGACCACAGAACTGAGTGGCTTTGGCTCCCACATGTGAACCCTGACCTCTGGCTGTGTTAGCCAGAGCACCAGAACTGAGTAGCCCAGACCTCTGACCTTGACCCCTGATCTCTCATCCCTAATCCAAGGCCTGGGCTCCCCAAACTGAGGAAGGCAGCCTCCTAGCCAGGCCCTGAGAGCCAAACCCATGGGCTGGTCCCACTTCAAGCCCATGGCCAAGATTGACTTGGCCCCTCGGCCTACACTGCCTGCAGGGGCAGCCCCTTGGCCTGGACTTGGGGCTGAAATGTGGGAAGGGGGGGGTTGTTTTTTTTTTTTTCTTTTTTCTTTTTTTTTTTCGTGCTTCGGAGACACCAGAATTAATAACACTATTTTTGATTTTGGTTGGTAGTTTCTTTTTTCTGGGGATGTTCGGGTGGAGGGTCAGGATAGGTGAGCACAGAGGGATGCATCGGCTGTGGAGTTGGGTTATGATGGATATCAAAGTTAGACCAAGGTGGGGTTCGGGTAGGACTGGGTCCTCTTCCTCACAAGCCTGTTCCCTTTTCAGGCTTGATCTGAAGTTTGCATTGTTCCCTTTCTCATCTCCAAACAACAAAGACTTCCCGCTCTAGTGGCAGGTTTCTACGATTATCAGCCTTGACCTTGGCCAAAAGTCTTTATCTGAATCTTAGTTTCTCCAGCTATAAAGAGGTGACACCTGTCTAAGGTGTTTCAAAAGTACACGAGAGCGGCTGTAGAGCAGGGCCCAGTGTTGATGAGCGCTCATAGTGGTACTCTGAGCACTTCCTATACGCACGGCTGCAGCTAACGCTAGGTGTCCTGGTCTAGCCCTACCAGTTGGTCTGGAAGGCAGGTACACTTGTTCGGTTTCTCGGCCGAGGGCTGGAGGCGCAACGGTTCCCAGAGCTGGGCCTGTCTCTGGCAGGCGCTCAGACCGCGGGACTGACCACCGCCAGGCCTGGG